AGTGCAGAGCCTCCTAAAAATAATACAGACTGAGTATCTCTTATCTGAAATGCTCAGGACCAAAGGTTACAGGATTTCAGACTGACTCATATTTTGGAATATTTACATACTCACAATGAGCTGTCTTAGAGATGGAACCTAACTCTAAACGTGAACTTCATGTATGCTTCCTGTGTATCTTGCACACAATGCCTGAATTAACTCTTTACTACATTTTTATTTTGCCTATGATTTGACTATGACCCATCAAATGGGGTCAGGTGTGGAATTCTCAACTGTGGCTTCAGGTCATTACTCAAAATCCTTGAGAGTTTGGAGAATTTGAGAGTTTTTCTTTAATATTTGGATTAAATATGCTTAAACTCAAGGCCAAAATTAGTGGCAAATGCCTATATCTCCACACACTTAGGAGGCTGAAGTGATCCCAGAACTTTAAGACCAGCCTGGACAATACAGCAAGATGTCAGCTAGAAAAGAGGGAGACACAGAGAGTGAGCAAGTGCGGAAGAGAGAGAGACAGAGACAGAGACAGAGAGACAGAGTCAACCTGTCTAAACTTTGAAATAATATCATGATACTGTGCATTAAAATGTGAACTTTTAGAGAAGAGAAGAGAGTGAAGAACGTGAAGAACTGGAGGAGGAGAAATGGGCAAAGGAAAAAGAAAAAAGAATTTTTTTCCTTCCATATTTGTTAGAACTGCAACCCTGATTAAATCATTCAAGATGTAACGAAATTACAGTTTTAAATGTACATTTGACTTGTGCCTCTTTTGGCCATCAGCCTGATCATTAAAAGCACCCCAGGCCATTTTCTTCTAATACCAAGTTGCAACCATTGCTATAAAATGCCCATTCGTGCATTCTTTATCTCTGCCTAACAGGAGAAAATTCTGTGTTAAACAGGATGTGTGCAGCATAAATTTTGTTTTTTAAACTGCAATAACAAGAAGCTTTAAAGTAAATCAGACACTGTAAAGCAAGTTTACAATGCCTTGGAAAAAGCCCAAGACTGTGGGTTCTTAAATAGGTTCTCCCTGGTAAATGGAGCTGCCACCCTTCTCAGGAACAATAAGTCTATTCCCTTGATAACTCCAAGAAGTAGCCATGAGCCTGGGGTTTAATCTGATAAGGAAAAGTATGGAAATTTTTCCTGATCATTGCTTGTTTTTAACTCACTGTAGGAAAGTTCTTAATAAGTGTTCTTTGAGTCTCGCACACCCAGCTTCTCTGATGCTGTGGTCTTCAGATCCACTCCACCCCAAAAGGTTATTGGACTGGTCATTCCAGTCTACCTACTTGAGATGTTTTGAACCCACATTATTATCCATTCCTGTGAGGACGATGCAGAGCCCTTGCCTGTACACAGGTACAGTTCACTTTACATGTCCATGGTTTCTTTATTAAAACATGTAATGATTCCACTTTGAATTCTTCCAGACCTGAATAATTCTATTAGACAAGGTTCCTCATCGATGAAACAATTATCCTTTCCACCAACCTCCCCTCTACCCTTAAATTTGCTTCCCAAAGAGACATGATTTGCCCCAGAGAAGTTTTAGGGATGCTCTCTGATCGTTATGATCATTTCCTCTGACAAATACTTCAATCTAATTCTCAAAAGTCTCTATAATCTGACCTCAACTACTCATGCCATAAATAGAAATCCTTGGAGTTCAAGTAGTTTCCATTTATTCAATATCATGGAATTAAATTAAAACCGATTTGAATCTGCAAATACCTCACTGGCAGGAAGTACATTTTCACATATCCTTTTTTTTTTTTTTTTCTTTTTTGGACCATTTAAGAACGTTAGAGATTACACAGTTCACACAGAGATCTTTCTAACATCGTCTTTCAAGTGGCTCCAAGGCTCTCAAATCTCTCAAATGCCACTGACAGTTTACCTCTGCTCTGCCACCCTGGATGCCTCTGGATGCTGTCTTCCCGTTCTTCAGGCTAGGGGCTGGCTTGCCCCAAATCCCACCAGGATGGCAAGCACTTCGAAATTTAGACATTGTTCCCGCGTGACTCCAGCACCTCGAAGTCACACTTGATAGACCTTCCCACTGTACTGACCATGTTGCAGCCCATCCCTGCATGGCCAACGCTCATCCCCCATGGGTTCTCCACAGAAACTCAGTCAACAAGGGTGCATTCCCAGAAGCATCACCATAGGTATCAAGTCATTCACTTCTTCTGCCCCCAAACCACCTAATTTCTTCTGTCCTCTATTTAAGCAAAGGCGGTCTGAGAACTTCTAAAGGTGAAGTGGAAAGGAGAAGGATCCCACAAATGTGTATTTGCCCTCTTGGAAATGGCTTGCCCATGAGTTGTGTCACAAGAAAAGGAAGGAAAACTCTCGTGTTTCTCCTTTTCAACACTACAAAGAGCCCTAGTCCACACAAATAACACAGGACAAAAAAATAAAAGGCTTAAAATTGCAAAATGGGGCCGGGGATATAGCTCAGCAGCACAGCGCCTGCCTGGCATGCATGAGACTCTGAGTTCCATTCCCAGTATCAAAAAAAAGTTTTTTGAAATGATAAACATTGCAAAAAAAAAAAAAAAAAAAAAAAAAAAAAAAAAAAAAAAAAAAACTACTAGGACAGTAAATGAGCTAGCAAAGCTACAAGATCATTTTTAAAGTACTTGTTTTTTCAAACAGTTGAAAATTGAAATTTTATGGGTCAAGGATGTAGCTCAGGGGTGCAGCATCCTGAGTTCAATTCTGGATACCAAAAAGAAAAGAAAAGAAAATAGAAAAAAAAAAACCCTTTAAAAAGAAAACTGAATTTGCGAAGCCAGTGGCTTTGTATGGGGAGGGTGAGGTGACCCCGGCCCAATACAGAGCCACCACTCCAGCAAAGGTCTTTCAAACATGGATGCCCACAGTGGGGACCATACGCCCTCCCCAGCAACCAGGGACAGGCATAATACAGGCGCTGTCACACCTCCTCCGTGAATTGCTGACAGCTCTTGCACTAGTCATATGATGCCCCAGCGGCTGGACTAAGGTCTCTTGGTGACAGCAACGCCTCACTTTGAGGTCACCTTTATCCACCTATCAGTGACGAACTACCTCATATTACACCTGCTGCAGACAGGGCTTGCCAGCTGCATGACATTGCGAATATGCTAGGAACCACTGAATTGTACCCTCGAGTTTAGAGGCAGGGTCTCACCATGTAAAGTACAGGCTGGCCTTGAACTCACCATGTGGCCCAGGCTGGCTTTCCATCTGGTCTGGAACATGTAGCAATCCTTCTGCCTCAGCCTCAGAGTGCTGAGATTGCAGGGATGTACCAGCAGCTCTGCCGGATTTTTTTTTTTTTTTATGAACCTTTTGTTCTGATTACTTGTAGAGAACCTTTCTTGGTGCTGCAATTTACAAGGAGTACTGGATCTGAAAAGCTAGACAGTAACAGAAGGCAGAAAAGAGGACTGAAAGCTGTCTTGATTTACGCTTTCTTTCGCTTTTGAAGCATGTGTAGTGTTTTATCCTGTCAACACATGGCTGACCCAGGAGGCTGAGAAACCCTACAGGAAGAATCCATCTGCCTATGAAAATGACAAATAAGCAGCTCAGCTATGTGAAGTTCCTCCTTCTCTGAAAGACCCTTCTTTGGGAGAGAAAGCTGCATTGTAGTCTCTTGAGGACACAGTAAACTTTCTATGGGCTGTGCATTGTAACTTTGCATTTTTGCGAGCAAAATACTTGGTGTGATTGTTAATATTCACATGTTCATGCAGTCTTCCCTCCTCCGCCTGAGCCCTGAGGAGTTCTGTGGGGTTTTGGTGAAAAAATACATCTTACCCTATACTTACAAGAAATACCTGCAACTACTGCTGCTGCTTTGGGTGCGATGGTCTGTGGGGTGTGCTGATTCTCAACTCTCTGCTCCCATTATGAGCAAAACGCCCAGTAACCATAGAGTAATTACTGTGTGTCAGGTACCGTCTAAGCCGTACGAATGAAGTTCTAAGCTTAACAAAAAAGAAAAAGAAAGAATGAATGAAAGAGAAAACAAAACTGAAATTTCAAAAGTACCACTTAGAGTAAGAAACATATTAAAATATAAATCTAACAAAATATGAGCAACATGTTAAGTATTGAAAAATAAAAAATACTGATAAGGGGAACCAAAGAAGTCTTAAATACATGGAGATACATACTCACAGATTATGGCATGTCGTATTCCAGAATGTTAGTATTGTTGGAATGCTAATTCTTCTCAAATGGATTTATAGACTGAACATATTTTAATGTTAATCCCTGTAGAGCTGTTTTTAAATTGATAAACTGATGATACAATTTATGTGGAAAAAGTGAAAGACTTACTCTTTCCAGTATAATTTTGATAAAGAAAAACAAATTGGAAAGTTCAGAATATCAAAATTTAACATTTATTGTAATTCTATAGTATTCAGTGTTAAACTTAGTAGATCACTTACACTTCAATGCAATGTAAAGTCCAGAAATAGACCCAGACATGTATTTTCAGTTGATAATATGGCAAGCATGCCAGGAAAATTAAAAGGAGAAACAAGGGTCCTTTAAACAAAAAGGGCTGAAGCCACTGAACATCCATGTGCAAAACAGTAGACCTTGATGCACACACCAGAATTAACTCAAAATTGATTATAGAACAAAAGTAAAACCTAAAATTGTAAAATTTCTAAAAAGAAATTTTAAAAACTTCTGAGCTTTGATTAAACAAAGATTTCTTAAGAAATAAAAATCTGAACTACAAAGACATTCAAATTGAACACTACAAGAATTTAAAATTTGTTGTCAATAAATCTCATTAAGAAATAAAAAGATGAGTGACAGAGTCATAGAAAAGATTTACCATACAAAGGTTTGATAGAACCTTTGTATTCAAAATACACTAAAAACTCTTTCAGCTCTATAATTAGAATAAAATGAACAAGTTACCTGAAAAGGTGTTAAGAAGAAATTTGCCTAACATAAAAAAAAAATCCACGAATGGCAAATGATCACATGAAAAATAGTCTCTTTAATCACTAGAGAAATACAAATTACAAGTAAAGAATTACAAAAAGAGTACCACTACCTGCCTTTTGAAGGCTAAACTTATGAAGGTATGGTGGGACAGTCAAGAGGCTAAGGCAGAAAGACTGCCGGGAATTCGAGAAAGGATAAACACTACTAAACTACTGACAAGGAACTGAAGCAACTCTATCATTTATTGGTAGTGGAAATGTATAATCACACAAATATTTTAGAAGATGTAGAGTCACACTAATATTTTAGAGAATGCATAGTCCTACTATGGGACTATAGGGAATATCTTGGCAGTTTCCTAAAGCGTTGAACATACACTTACCATGAAATTCATATAAATATCTTTCTTAGAATAGTTTGTCTAAGAGAGATAAATGCATATGTTCACATGATTCTTTTATTAATATTCATAGCAGGAGTCTTCATACTTCTTGTCAAATTTGCAAGTCCTAATTCCCATTGCCTGATGATTGAAAAAGCAAACTTTGGTGAATCTATGTACTGAACTGTTGCTTAGCATTAAAATGAGAACAACTGATACACATGTTAATGTGGTTGAATCTCTAGAAGATTATGTTGAGCAAAAGAAGCCAGACATAAAAGGACAAGTTTAATATTATTCAATGTATATAAAATACTAGAGAAATCCTTATGTCTATATAACATACAGACAGATCAGACATTGCCTGGGCACAGTACTAAAGAGTTAACTGTGAGGGACATAGGAAATCTTTTGGTGTGACAGATACATTGATAGATGGTGGTGATATTGATATATATGCACACGCATATATATTTGAGTTACTTTTTACATTGCTGGAAAAAAAATACCCTACACCTATACATTGAAGAAGGAAAATTTTGTTGTAGCACACCATTTATAGGAATTTCTGCCCACAGGTGGCTAGCTCCCAGGCAGGATGGCATAACAGAAGGGTATAGCAGAGAAAAACAGTCCATGGCAGGGTAGGCAGGAGACAGGAAGAAGCAAGCCTGCCTTTTTTTCTGTCCATTTGTATTCCATCTAGGATAAAAGCCTATTAGCTGATGCCATCCCATCTAGGGTCAGCCTTCCATCATTCACACGCAGAACTTGGCTAGGCCAATTTAGTTATTGTATTCCCTTACTCCAATATAATGCACCCTGGAGCCAACCAGTTACCAAAAGCCTCACCTGTGCCTACATGAGACTTTGTAGAGTCTTCTAGATACAAGCCATAGCAATGTTGCTCAAAATTCTGCAAAGTATAAACAAAGTAGATGCTCACTGTATATAAATTAATTTATCAATAAAGTTGAAAATTTCAGTGTGTTTGCAATTTGACAAACCTATTCCAAAATTTATTAAAATTTTTAAGATATATAAAATTTATAACAAAATTTTTTAAAGGGACTGTCATGGTTTATATCAGTGGCCCCAAGCCCTCATGCATTTACATTATGCATCTGTGATTGGTTCATTGTCTAGAGCTTGGATTGATGGTATCAGTGCTACACCCCCATAGGGGTGGAGCTAGGATGTGATGTAATGGCAGGAAGAAGGTGTGTCTTTCTCTCTTGCCAGTTTCCCCTTGCTGTTTGCAGCTGCCATGAACTGCGGCCCCACCATGCCACCTGCCTTGGAGCCAACTGAGTATGGACTGAAACCTGCAAAAACTGTAAGAAATAAACTTTTCCTTTCCCAACTTGGTGCATCAGGCAGGTATTTTGTCTCAGCAATGAGTAAAAAGTAACTAAGATGGGCCAAAATAACCAAAATAATTTTGAAAAAGAGCACAGTGGGTCCTGGAAAACCTATAAAATGAGTGTGGCTCATCTAGAAGTAACACAGAAAATATTGCTGTTATTTTTGATGAAGGAAATTTTGTATAGTTTATTCCAATCTTAATAAAATGTAAAATTTTTAAAAAGAACACAATGAGAGAAACTACTGACCAGAAGTCAAGGGTTACTGGAAAAGGAGACAATTTAGGACCATGTGGTAATGGTAGGCACAACATTAAGCAAATGGATCAGCAAGAGGAGAACACAGATCATGAAAAGACCCCCATTAACAAAGACACTCATGTGAAAAGTGTCAGCAATCCAAAAATAAAATGAAAAAGTGACAGACTATGTGTAGGTCAGTGTTCCATTGCTGTGACCAAACATCTAAGTCAAATAACTATAAGAAGAAAAAGGTTATTTGTCTCACAGTGTTGTAGTCAGGGGTTGGACAGAGGACAATTAGAATCAGGACATGGAGTTTATAATGTTATTTATGATGATCACCAGAGTTTAACACAAAAAAGTGCAGGAAATCTATCCATGACACTAAAGACTTAGACTATTCAACCAAGCTATAACCAAGCCATCAACCACAGTAATGCCCTGCATGAGTCCAGATGAAGACCCAGAGCTCATGACAGTGCCTCCCACAAGTCCAACTAGAGGTCTAGAGCCCACAAGAAGGATTCTTGCTAGTCTGTTTTGTGGATCCGTGCTGGGAAGGCCCAAAGGTCAGCAGTGGAAGCTAGGAAGTCTATGCCAGCGGGGAGAAGGAACTGTGCTGGTAGGTTGAGGATTCTACGCTGGAGCTGAGAAGTCACACTCATAATGAAGACCAGGGCTGTCCTGAAAAGCACCACAGCCATTCTCAGTGACACAAAGGTCCTGAGCTCCTCCGACGACAAGCACAGTCGAGTACATGCCAGGAAGCCAGCGTGACGAGTTCATCCTGGAGACCAAGTGGCACACATCTTCCTCTCCGGAGCCAGGAAACAGTGCTTGATGTGAGGACCAGAGCTTCTCCAGGAGAACCAATGGTTCAAACAGCAACACATAGGAAACCCCACAATACCCCAATGCCTCAATGCCTCCTTTCTCCTTCTCCATGTCTCTGTTTATGCTGGCAACTTTCCTCAGGTGGAGCACCTATGCTCAGCACCATGGTGATTTAATTCTGCTGGTGTTAAGTTGACCACCAGTTCTTAACCCATCACACAGAGTTTGAGAGCTTTCAGTCTCTGGCTTCTTGGCTTAGTTGCTTTGGGCCTGTGGCAGCGCAGTAGATCACAGTGGGGTGTGTGATAGAGGAAGCTGCTCACTCATAGTAGCTGGAAAGTCAAAGCAAGGAAGTGACAAGTTTTCCAATGTCCCTCAAGGGCCCACCCTGAGTGACCTAACTTCCTTCCTCTGGGTCCCACCTTGGCCAATGGCTGTGGATCAAGACTTTCGATCCTTAAGCTCCAAACCATAATAGGCAATTTACACAAGTAGTTCTAGGACAACGAGCTTTCCATAGAAGTGAAACTAAGAAACTATCCACACTGAGATATCAGATATACAGTAAAATATATTAATGTGGAGCTCAGAAAAGAAATCTAAATTAAATATTTAGAGTGCTGTGCCTATATTTTATATTTTAAACCATGGTATTTAAATAGTAGGGAGTTGCAGAAATTGCTACTAGAAAGACTTGGGTAAAGAAGTAAACAAAAGGGGCTAAGGATTTAGTTCAGCGGCATAAGCACCTGCCTTGCAAGCAGGCGGTCGTGAGTTCAATCCCTGGTACCGATAAAAATGAAAAAATAAATAAAATAAAAATTTAAAAAGTAGTAAACAAAAAGACTCTGATGGAAATTCATACTTCAAAGCTATTTCTTAGACTAGAAAATAATGTGAGGTTTGAAGTACATCTCTGTAGAACTAGAAAAACCTCGGTATAAGGACCTTGTACAATTTCAGATGAACTCTCTTCTGTTTTCTAGGTCATTTTTGAACTACATGAGAACATAAAATACTCACCTGTCATAGCTCAGGAAAGATGTACAGATTTCAGAAATGTTAAGGTTAAACTGAAGAATTAACAATGTTAATCCCATCCTTTTCAGCAACATAAATGAGATGAAAGATCATTATGTTAAGTGAAATAAGCCAGGCACAGACAGGCAAGTATTCCATGTCCTTACTCATATGTGGAAACTAAAAAAGTTGACTTCACAGAAAAAGCGAGTAAAATAACAGTCACTAGAGAATGGAAAGGATAGTGATGAGTTAGCAGGCATAAAAATGCAATTAGATAAAATAAATAATGCTCGTAACAGTAAAATTACTACATAACAAGAATTTAGTATATATTTCATAATAGAAGAAGCAATCCTTGAATATTCCTGACACAAAGAAATAAATGTGGTAAACAGGTCAATTACACTGTCCTGGTAATTACATGTATAATGCACAATTAGTTATTCATGTATAATATCATCTTTACACATTGTATACATGTATCAAAGTATATATATCCCATCATTATGTATAAATGTTGTGTCAATTAAAATTAAAATAATAAAATAAAATGTTTGGACAGAGTGGCTAATACCTAAAAAGAACAAAAGGAAATATCATGGAAATGTTGAAAACATAATGGGCCAGAAAAAATAAGCTGGAATGAGGCATAAATATGTGATGAGCCCAGGGAAAAAACCTAATCCAAGAACAGAATAAAATTCCCTTCAGCAGTATTATAATTAAATCATTTAGCAAATGTGTATAGACACTTACCTTGTGGTACATATTATGTTGGTAATAAGGTATTGCAGTTCCTTTTCTCATTGTTGAAACAAAATACCTCACACCCAAAGTTATGGAGGAAAGGTTTATTTGGCTAATGGTTTGTAGAGGTCTCAATCCATAGCTGGCTGGCTCCAAGTCAAGGTAACAAGGGAGAGGAGCAATGCAGAGGAGAAAGAATTCATGGCAGGCAAAGGCAACAAGCTGCAGAAGCAAGTGACAAGCAAGCAGACAGAAACCACTTTCTGTCTCTTCTATTTATCCAGTAGCATGGGTAGCACTCAATCCTTAATCCTAGCATCACACCATGAGTGTTGATTTTAGGTGCTTGGGTAGCTGCAGCCTTATGGCACTGGCAGTGAATATACTCCCAGGGTTCCTCTCTTGGGGTAGCTCTGCTCCCTCCTTCCAATTTGCCTCAGATGGTCTACATTCCTGGGTTTTCCAAACTTCTTGGATGTTCATTGTACCTCTGGCTTCATACTCAGTCTTTGACAAACAGTCTTCTTAGGGCAACATTGGCTGGCTTCCTCAGCTTTATATGAAATATGGTGGAAGCCTTCCTGATCCCACAATGCTTGCATTCTACATGCACCTAAAATCAACACCACGTGGATGATGCCACAGTCTGTCAACAGCTGGAGCAAGAGCCCGGCTTCCTTCTCTCTTGACTGTAGCAGTCAAGTTCCTATGAACCTAATCCCAAGGAGCAACTTCCTTAGGATGCCACCATCCTAGAACACAGTGCTCTGAGGCTTTCTTCTAAAGCAAAGCCTTTTATTTTTGCAATTTTGAGGCTGTAAAAGGTGGCGTTCTGCTGATTGTTGTGAAATCCTGAGGTCATCTTTTCTACTATCCTCTTCTGAACTACTTGACTTTTTCTTCATAGACTTTACAATGATCAGTTTCTCCATTGTTCCATCTCTGTAACTTGCAACTGTACCATGGCTTCCTTTCTGACCAAACTCAAAATGTTTAAATCATTCTGTTGAGGGGCTGGGGATTTAGCTCAGCGGCATAAGTGCTTGCCTTGTGCAGTCTTGATTTCGATCCCTGGTACCAATAAAAAAAATAAATCATTCTGTTGGCTCTTTGCTCTTGATTCTCAATATAAATCTAGCTAAAAGACCCCAACAGTAGCCATGCCATGGCCTCAACATTAAAGTGCCTTGAAATTTCTTCTACCAGATTACCTAGCCCTTAATTTCAGTCTCAGGCAAAGTCTCTGGACATGAATAAAATGCAAACATTCTCTAAAGGAGTAACTCTTTATCTGGAGTCTAAGAGTCAATAGGGTCCTTCTCAACAAAGACCCCTCCAGATCCTGATCTTTACCAGCAACATTTCTTTCTTTATCAGCACTCTGATCTTCCGAGCTTTGACCAAAATCTCCCATCAAGTACACCTTAAGACATTCCGAGGTGCTTGTTCAGCTGGCATCTCCAAACCTCTCCAAACTCTTCCCATAAGCCAGATCCAAAGGCTTCTGAACCACATGGTCAGGTACAGTCACAGCAACAACTCCACTACTATAGTCCCAAACTCTGAAAATAATCCTCCATAGGGTGGATTCCACATCCAGAATTATGTTTGACTTTGTTCTCAAATTGACACAGTCAATCAACTGTCACACAAAGATACAACAGTGAATTAAAAAAACAGCACGGATTCTGAAATTAAACTTCCTGGTTTTGAATCCCAGCTCTGTTTCTTCCCTGAGATCCTGAGAGTTGTGTCACTTTTCTTTCCCACTGTTTGTGTATCAGAATACAGCTATCTTCAAAGAGTTGTATGTGGAGACTAAATATTACATACTTGCACATAGAAAGAACCACACTAGTATCACTTACTCTTTTTATTGTTATCATTATACATCTTTATATTGTTAGATCATTCACTGAAAAAAAGGTTGATCATATAACAAGATGATTAAAATAAATTTAAGTCAAGGACTTGTACTTTCAGAATGCTGGACTATCGTTTCCCTATTCTTTTCCCTAAGCAAAAATTAAAAACATATGATTTACACAAAGCAAATATAAAATTCTCACAGGTGAAAAGAAATTGGAAGGCTGGCAAGAGAAGTTGAGAGCCAGGAAATGACAAGGTGGGGAGTTCCTTGGGTCTTCTTTTTACCTCTCTTATCCCAGACCTCTAGTCGAAGGGAGCAACAATGTGGAAATGTCAACAAGCTTAGGACAAACCACAAGTTTATTCTCTCTAGACCAGAGACCAAAACACAGCAGCACAGCAAGACAGAAAATTCTTAGACAGTAATGGATCTACTCCAGGCAAAAATCCCAGATACACAACTGGGCAAACCCTTTTCTACAAGGCAAGCCCAACTGGATAGTCTGGACTCCCGCCCAGTATCTAATCAGTAAGGAAGTATGTCAACACTCTTCTGGAGTCAAAAAAGCCAAGTGCAGAATGGGGAGAAAAAAAAGCCAAGTGCAAAGGTAAAATTTTCATCGTTACTCAGAAGTAACAACCTCAACCGTCCCCATAGTAGAGCCTGGACTTCCTTCCCCACCAGCATTAGCCATGCGCTTCTCTCACACACGCTTGCAGTCAAAGGAGGTCAGGTGAGAGACTGTCACCATTACCTGGATGAAACAAAACCATCTTCCCCCACCTTGGGGAAACCACCAACAGAATCCACATCAGGCACCTGACCGCTAACCCTACCCAGCGGTAGTAGGGCATCCCCACCCAAGGTCAGTGCAGCCCCAGTGTAGAACCTGGTCTTATTCTTCCACCTGGAATCAGTAAGAAGGTACTGTCTTCTATCACTTCAGAGCAAATCTAAGAAAGCAAATTGAAGCAGAAGTTTAAACTCCAGAGGTTCATGATATAAGGTGCACATGTCCGTGATTCAGCTGAAAGTCATGGTACCAAAATCTGGGAAGATCTAAAACTGATCAGATAAAGACAATGAACAGATGCGAAGACAATGAAGGAAGAGATGTTAGAATGATCTAAGTTTTCAAAACCTCAAAAATATTTCAACGAATAATTGCAAACATGCCTGAAACAAATGTAGATATATAAAGTCTGAGAATAATTTAACATTTGCAAAAAGGAGAAGCAGAAAGGGGGGAAAGGGAAAAGGGAGACAGAAGAAGAAACATAGAAGAATCAAAAGGGAAATTTGATTTGCTTTATTATGTACATTCCACGCAACCCAGAACTCCTGGGCTCAAGCAATTCTCCTGTCTCAGCCTCCTGATTGCTAGCACTACAAGAATACACCTTTATATTCAGCCAAAGAGAAAGCTGGACCTGAAAAAGACAACAGAACCCACTGAATAAACTTAAGAGTAGATGGAAATACCAGAGAAAATATTAGTGAAGTAGAAAACAGAACAATCAAAATTATTCAATCTAAACATCAGAGAAAATAGACTTAAAAATAAATAAAATGAGCAGTCTACAGGACCCAAAAGACTGTAAAGATGAGCTAATGTTTGTGCAAGCAAAGTCCCATGAGGAGAAGAGAAAGAAGGCTGCAAAATTACACATTACCTGTGGAGGAAATGTAAGGGATCAGTGACAGTGGCACCATAAAATCCATAGAGGTAATCAGTGAAGCAAAGAGTTGGTTCTTTGGAAAGAGCAATGAAATGTGCAAGCTGCTAGCATGATGGACAATATAAAATTTACAACAAGAATGAAATGGAGGATATCATTATAGACCTTGAAAACATCAAAATGATAATCCAAGAACAACTTAAACAAATTTGACTCCTTAAATAAAGTGGGGCGTTTTTTTGAAAACTGCAGCCATTAAATATGAAATACGTTGCCTGAATAGTCTGTACCTATAAAAGAAAGTGTGTAAGTTTATAATGTCCCAACAACGTTACTGGGAGTATGAGAGAGAAAGCACTGTTTTACATGACTGGTAAAAGTGTGGCTAGATAACAGCTTGGCAATACCTGTCAAATTTTTCAACATGTGTATCAGCTGACAGCAGTTTCACTTCAGGAATTTATTTTATTTAAAAATTACATGCTCAGGGGCTGGAGATTTAGCTCAGCGGCATAAGCGCCTGCCTTGTAAGCAGGCAGTCGTGAGTTCGATCCCTGGTACCGATAAAAAGGAAAAAGACAAAAAAAAAAAAAACTACATGCTCACAAAAATAAAGGGGGAGTACTGAGCAATCAAAAGGAACAATCTTATCGCCTCCAGGGATATGTCAATTGATCTGGAGCAAATGGGACACTATGGAAAGTGGACAGACCTTGGTCACCTCACCGAAGCACCAGGAAGAAAACCTCCTTCATGTGAGGCACCTCAGCTCAGAGACTGTGGGATCCCTACCATGGCAGGAGTCTGAAGAGACAGTCACCACTGCCAGTCTCCCATGTCACAGAAGGAGCACTGTGATAGGCTCCTAGTACCCTCCCAACACTTGAATATGGCCCGGAGAGAGCTAGGCCTTGCCACAAAGGGGATTTGGAGAGAATTTCAAAGCAATCTGGTAAGTGCTGTTGCTTCACTCTCTTTCCTCCACACTCCCACACCGAGCATACTCAAGCAGGAGCCTACCTTAACAAGACAGAGATGAATCATATCTATCCTGCTTCCTGGTGACCAGAAGATAGGCCCTCACTGAAGTCCTAAGTAAGGGGACCAGAACAGATAAGATGTAAACTAAGAATGAGACTTTACTGTGAATTCTTTGACTTCTTAGTTTTACAAAACAGTTAGGTTTTAACAAGTAAAAGGAACTACAAAATAATAAAACCTTCCTGAGACATCTTTACAGCAAGAAAGGCCAATGTAAGAGAACACAGTCAGATCCACACTTGCAGATCCACAGAACCATTTCTTGTTTATGTTCTGGTGAATTAAGTGCAGGAACCAGTTACTTACCAGTTTTCTTAGCTACAGAGCTGGGCTGTTAGTCCTGCTCTGCCCTCTCCGGACCAGCTGCTCCTGGTGGAAATACCAACTAAAAGACACAGACACAGCTATCTCCTCACACCTTCTCACATGTGGACACTGTGCAAATACTTCTGGTCCTTACAGTGACAACTGGTGATATCACCCACATTTTACAGATGCAGAAAGTTCTACATGATTGGGGGAATGACACAAGGTCAGAGCGCCAGCTCCTGCCTCCCTGGAATGCAACCCTGATCTATGGCCCTGCCCTGCCCAAGTACAATACAGGACAGTGTACATGGGCAGTCTTAACTCTCACCTGTGTCCTCAGAATTCCTCTGGGAAATGCCTGCTGCTCTCTGCACTGCACCCAGAACACCAAGAACTGCCTCTTTCCCTACACTGGAGGGCCCTTTGCCCACCTGCACCGATGGATTTTCCAAATTCTGTCTTTTCCAGGTGTCTTCCCGAGGTTCACACTCACACTGGTATTTCTGCTTTCAAGTCTCCAATATCCTGGACCCTAAGTCCAGCATGTTTGATGTGATCATGGAGGGGCAGTGGAAACTGTTCTCCAGGAACCCCTGAAGCTAACAAACAGCCTCCAGTTCTGAGGAAGTGGGGTGGATCAGCCAGAAAGGATGTTGACCCCTAGGGTCAGCCAGAGGAGGAGCCCCGTGGTCAGAGGGAAGTAAAAACAGGGAGTGTCTGGAAGAGATTGTTCATGCTTTCAACTGAGGCCAAACTCTGAGTAAGGCAGAGAGGAGAGGGGAGCGGGTGTGCTGGGCTTCGCTATTAATAGCTGCACCCGAAGCCTCCCTCATACCTGGCAGGGGCCTCCTGCACTTTGAAAGTCTTGGGGTCTAGTTTTTGGCAGTGGCCTCAGGGACACAGCTCACTAAGGAAGGCTAAAAGCCTGCTTTTCCCCTTTTCCCATTTCCCTGCGTGGCATTAGTTGGGCAAGATGCAGAGTCCACTTGGGCAGAGGAAGGTCTGGCTTCTGTCTCTATGGGTAGACTCGGAAGGACTCTTCACAGCCCAGGGACCCTTGTCCCCACAAGTCTTTGGGTGACACCTCCTCTGCAAGTGGTGAACAGGTCTTGTAGGGCCTCTGCTGCCCTTTGGAGATCCCTGGAGTCTGCCTGTCCCCACTTCCCCAGGAAAATTCTAGAGTCACAGTGTAGCTGAGTCGGACAGTGATTCTTCTGACATATGGTGTTGACCTTGTGCTCATCCCATAAACAGCTTGGTCATGTTGCTTAACAGAAGAGAGGCTCTGAGGTCTGGGGGAGGGGACGGGAGAAAAAAGTCAAGAGTGAGAGCCAGCAGCTTTCTAGCTAAGTGGGTTTCGCCTCAATGTTGAGCTGACTGGGGGCGGGGGATTCTAATTTCACTCCTGGAGATTGAAGCCTGGCAGCGCTAGCTGCTTCCCTTGCACTTTTAAAAAAGAATATATATTTTTTAATTTTGAGAAAGAACCTCTGTAATTCATCCTAACAGGAAGTTCTCAAAAGCAATGCATTGCTAATGACGCTCATCTGCAAATGCTACCCTGATTACAAAACTGATAAGCAACCCCTTTATGCTTAGCCCCGGGCTGCCAGGGAGCTCCAGATCTTTTACCCCTAAGCTAAAAAAATCCCTCTCTAGGCTTCCAAAGGAATATGTAAGGCTTCCTTTTATCACTGGGAATTTCTGAGTCTTTCCTACCTTAATCTCTCTCTTTCTGAGTGGAGTTTCCTGTTTCCCTATTCCCCTGTTTTACATTTCAACGGCATGCACCTTGAATTCTCTGCTTCCTGCCTCTTTCTACATCCTGAATAGATAGGTTCAGGTCAGCTCCTCCATATCACCTTTACTTGTGCAGTGGACCAATGGACAGAGTCCACTCACCGTGCAGTGAGGATCACTGTCTTCCTTTTTCTCTTTCCTCCTACCGTGATGAACCCAGCCCACATCCTGAAGTTCTACTTTTTCTGAGACTTTGAGCTCCTTCCCCTTAGGGATCCCCACCCTGGCCACATTTTTTGGTACCTTTAATCTACTCTCCTGATAGATTCTCCTGCCATCCCAGGATTTCCCAAGCCCCAGCTCCCTTCAGGTCTCTTCCAACTCTATTTAACTTGTGCATGTGTGTTTTGCTGGTGACCCGTTACAGAGCCCCACACATGCTGCTTAGGTAGTGCTCTGCCAGGCCCTGCAGTGAGCTCCTGAGCCACAACCTTGGCAGAGCATCTGGGTTTCTTGTCTGCCTCTGCTGCTGCTGCTGCTGCTGGCAGCACAGCTTTGAGTGAGTCCTTCGGTCTCATTTCTCTCTGCACCAGAGCTCTTGCACACACACACCTGAACATGAGTGCCAATCTGTGAAAGCCCATGTGGACCACGTGGTTTACAGCTCTTCTGAAGTCCACCCATGCTCCTTCCTTCCTTCCCTACCATCTCCATTCGGGTCATGACTCCATCCTGATTTTGCAAAAAAACACAAGAAACCTCTGTTTGCTTCTTTGCCTCTGACTCCCTGTCCCCCAAACATACTCAGAAATCCCCCTTACTGCATCTCCCCCCCACCTTCTCCACTGACTTCTCTCACCTTCAAGTCAAGCAAATCAGGATCAGTACTTGCCTGGAGTCTTCTTGTTCCACTGTTAACTGCTCAGTAAATAGCAGCCATTGTTAATTTTATCCCATACCCCCTCACTTGATATCCACTCTTAGACCTTCTAAAACCATACCCTTCCCTGGGGCTGCAGCTTTAGCTCAGAGGCATAAGCACCTGCCTTGCAAGCAGGCAGTCTTGAGTTTGATCCCCGGTGCCCATAAATAAATAAAACCATACCCTTCCCACATCAAGTTACTGCACTGAACACACCATTATAACTTACCTGTGCCTACCTCTTCCCCACCACCCTGTAAAACCACAAGCTCCGTGAGGGCAAAGAAATGTGCCTTTTCCCTTAAATACAGGTACAGTGTTCAGCATGTACAGTATTAGGTACTCAATGTGTGATGAAATAAACCTAAGTAAAAACTGACTTATCAGAGACCTTTGTGATACTGATATATTAATGTTTAATGAACACAATTAAAATCACTTTAAGAAATTTTAAAATCCAAATGCCCTGACTGCAAGCTACTTCAATTAGGTC